GAGGGGCTCACACTTCCTACTTCAGGAGCTTGCTGCAAACTCAGTGATCATGACCGTGCGGTGCTGCCGTGAGGACAGACGTCCAGGCCTGGGGGACTGAACTGAGAGTCCAGAAACAAACCCGTGCATTCGCGGTTTGGACAAGAGCTCCAGGACAACCCGACAGAACCAGAACAGTCTGTAACAGGTGGTGCTGGGACACTGGCCATCCACGTGCAAAAGAATGAAGATGGATCCTTGCTTCACACACACACAACAATTAACTAAAACTGGATCAAAGGTCCAACAGAGCTGAGATCATAAAACTCTGAGAAGAAAACAGGGTTACTTCTTCACAACCTTGGATTTGGCGATGGATTCTTAGATATGCACAAAAAGCATAAGCAACAAAGGGAAAATAGAAGAGCTGGACTTTATCAGAAGGAAAAACTTTTGTGCTTCAAAGGACAGTATCAAGAGAGTGAAAAGTCAGCCCAGCCGTGGGAGAAGATATTTGTAATTCACGTGTTGGTACTGGACCGACATCCAGAGTGTGTAGAGCTCTGAGTGTCGCGTGTGGGCTGCTGCTCGAGGGAGCGGAGAGATGTCTGCAGGTGACAGGGCCGGGCTGGCCCCCAGCGGCGGATCTCACAGGACCTCACCCAGCTGACAGTGTCGGGGTCTGGATCAGGGACTGTGTTTGGAAAAGTTCCAGGGGCTTTAGGAAAAGTTAGAGCCGGGCTGTGAAGTGTCTCCCGTAGGAACGGAAGAACAGACCGTGGACATGATGGTCCACGTGGGGCTCACTCCTGGGAGGGCAGAGGCCTTGGGGCCACGGGGCGCCGCGTCCAGCCATCCTGTGCTCCTGGGTTCTGTGCTGACCTGGGCTGGGCCTGAGTCAGGTGGGGGTGGGGGGCCGCGTGGCCCATCCCGGAGCGGTCTTGTCAGCTGGGGCTTCAGGGCCTGGAGGGAGCATTTTACTGAATCTGGGCACTTCGACCTCTCTCAAATCCAGATGCATCTTATTTTTCAAAGAGCTCGCAGCTTCGAAGGGCGTGGGTGAGCGCGGCTCTTTGTGGATGACTCGGTGGCGTCGGAGGCCGTGGTGGGGATCTGGAAGCAGGTTGAGGGGCTGTCAGAGCGTCCTGAGCAACGTCACGGAAATAATTAAAAAGAGAATCTCCTGCCACCCCAGCCATCCTCTCCGCAGGCGTAGGAAAGAGTGAAACGGTTTTATTATTGAATAAGCGTTAAATCAGCCCTCGATGCCCCGAGGCTGCCAAGACAGAGAGACTCTCACCCGCCCTTTCTCCTAGCCAGGCAGACCACCCTGGTGACAGGGACAAGAAAACATGCCAGAGGGTTCCCAGCCTTTTAAAAAAGTTTACCTGTATCCCAAAGGGGCAGGGAAAGGAGCTGCCCTTACACGTTTCCCAAGGAAACGTTCTAAGAACAGGGACGAGGGAAAAGGTGTTTTGCCCTTTGGCACCAAAATGTTCTCCCGTTTTCTCTGAGGTTTGTATTTTCCCTGAGGGTGGGGCTGGGGGCAGGGGAGGGGCCGTGAAGGGGGCAGTGAGTCCTTTTCCTTAAAATGGGTCCCGGAGTGCAGCCGGTGCGGCCGCCCTGGCCCAGACCCGCCCCGAACCTCGCCTGCGTCTCCCCGGCAGAGGTCCAGAGCTTCGCAGGCACCGAGAAGGACGGGCGCATCGTCGGGGAGATCGCCTTCCAGCTGGACCGGCGTATCCTGGCCTACGTCTTCCCTGGCGTGACGCGGCTCTACGGCTTCACCGTGTCCAACATCCCAGAGAAGATCAAGCAGGTGCGCCCCTGTGGCCCGGGACCCTCACTGCCCGGGGCCGGGGTCCGTGGCCTCATGACTGGACACTTCCAGGAGGCTCCGGGCCCCAGGCCTCATGGCGCAGCACCTGTGCTCCGTGCCTGTGCTGGGTGCTTGTGCTCGGTGCCTGTGCTCAGTACTTGTGCTCAGTGCCTATGCTGGGTGCTTGTGCTCGGTGCCTTGCTCAGTACTTGTGCTTGGTGCCTGTGCTGAGTGCTTGTGCTCGCGCTCGCTGCCTGTGCTGGGTACTCGTGCTTGCTGCCTGTGCTGGGTACTTGTGCTTGCTGCCTGTGCTGGGTACTTGTGCTCAGTGCCTGTGCTCAGTACTTGTGCTCGGTGCCTGTGCTGGGTGCTTGTAAGGCACCCAAGGCAGAGGCCCGACTCCTGTTCCTGACACTGTCTGTGCAAACTCTGCCGGGCAGGATTCCCTGATCTAAGCTGTTGGGAAGACAGCCCTGCCCCTACCCTCGTCCACACAGGGCCAGAAGCTGCCCTGACCCCAGTGCCCCAGCCCCGTGGGGTCCCTGGAATTGCCTGGCACTGCAGTGGGGCCTCCCTCTCACCCCCACACCCTGTGCCCTGTGACCCCTAACCTCCCTCTCTCCTGCCCCTAGCACTGTGTCTCGCAACCTCTGTCCTCTCCACTGTGCACTGTGACCCTAGACCTACCCCCCACTGTGAACTGTGACCCCAGACCTAGCCCCCATTGTGGGCTGTGACCCCAGACCTAGCCCCCATTGTGGGCTGTGACCCTGGACCCGCCTCCACTGTGCGCTGTGTCTCCAGACCTCCATCAAGTCCCTGGACGGCTCCGTGGACGAGAAGAAGCTGCGCGAGCTGACCCACCGCTACCTGACGCTCACCGCGCGGCTGGAGAAGCTGGGCTACAGTCGCGACGTGCACCCCGTGTTCAGCGAGTTCCTCATCAACACCTACGGCATCCTGAAGCAGCGGCCCGACCTGCGCGCCAACCCCCTGCACAGCAGCCCGGCCGCGCTGCGCAAGCTGGTCATCGACATCGTGCCCCCCAAGTTCCTGGGCGACTCGCTGCTGCTGCTCAATTGCCTGTGCGAGCTCTCCAAGGAGGACAGCAAGCCGCTCTTCGCCTGGTGAGCCCGCCACGCCCGCCGCCTTTCCTGCAATAAACGTGTTTGTTCCAAACCTGGGGGCCAACGTGCCTCCTGCGTGTATCCCCCGAGGGGGAAGGGCCGCCCGGCTGCGCCGACAGCGCCTGGGAGCGGGTGCCCTCCGCGGACCCAGCCGTGCGGGTGCTCCGCAGCCCGCGCCGCCCGCACCTGCTGCACTTGTTGCCCTTTATTAAAATCATCTGTTTACCTGCTGCCTTTACCTCTGGCTCTTTGAGGGCGTGGAGAGCGCCTGGCTCCCTGCTCCGCCTGCAGGAGGTGCCGGCTGGGATCCTGGCTGTGGAGAGCGGCCGGAGGGGCAGGGCCCAGCCTGCAGGACTGTGCCCACCTGCCCTCCGCCCTTGCAAGGACCCGGGTCGGTTCCTGCGGTTGGCTGTGGACTCGGCCGGGCCCTGGGAAACGCAGCGCAGCCCCTCGCCCAGGAGCGAAGGATTCCGGCAGGAGCCCAGGCCCTGCGCGGCCCAGCAGCCCCCGCCCAGGCGGCGTCTTTTTGGGAGCTGACTCTGGTGGCAGGTGGCACCGCGAGGGGCCAGTCTGTGGTGTCCGACGCAGGGAACCCCAGGGAGTGGGCCTCTACCCGCAAGCCCCATGGGCCACCTCCCTGCAGGAGCAGGAGCCGCAGCCAGGCCAGCCCGGCGCGAGGATGGCCTCGGAGGACCCGCAGGGGCTGAGGGGCGCCCGGCTCCAAGGCCCTGGAGTGGCATCGGCACGTTAGGAGATGGGCCCCAGCCTGGTCCCTGTTCTGTCTGGGCACCCAGGGGGTGCGCTGGGTCCCGCGGGGGCCCCTGCTCTGACGACTGATGCTGGGCGGGCTGGGTCGGGGCAGGGCGGAGCCCACGCCTGGCAGGAGGGGCGGGCCGGCCCCTGGGGCTCTGGCCTGTTGGCCTCGCCCCTTGGGGTGGCGAAGCTCCACCGTGGTAATGACCATGTCCAAGCTGGGCCGGCACCGGGACCCAGGCCCAGGGAGGGCTGCGGCCGCAGAACCTCGACCGGGGGTGTGGGGGGTGGGGGGCTTCCCCAGGTGCCGGCAGACGGGGTGGGAGGGTGCGGTGAAGCGTCCTTGGCTGTATCTTACCAGGTGTGCAGGGTGACAGCCAGGACCCAACTGCCCAGAAAGCTCATTACTCGCAGACTCCAGAGCGGGGTGCTCTGCGCCACACATGGCCACGCTGGGCAGCCGGCCACGAGGAGGCGGAGGGGGTTTCCAGGCAGCGTGGCGTGTTTGAGCAAGGGCTTGAGGGGCTCAGTTTCTGTGGACTCTGGGCTGTCGGGTGGCGTCTAGCTGGGCAGGCTCTTGCCTGGGGGTGATCCAGGGCAGGGGGCGAATGCCTGGGCCGGCTGGGCAGGTGGGCTCCAGGTGGGTGCTGTGCCTGTCGCAGGTGTGCACTGTGGCAGGGCAGGTGTTTGCCGGGCTAGGAATCGGCTGGGGGTGTCTCTTCCAGCTGGAAAGGCCCACGACGTGGAAGCATCGTCAGGGAGAAAGTAGCTGGCAGGGGCACCTGGCCCCCAGGCCTGGGCTGGAGCGGCCCCCGGGGGCTCTGGCTGGGTGGTGCCCCAGTGACCTGTTTTATCTTGATCACCCCGTCTCCAAGTCCCGTCACATTCTCAAGTGCTGGGCCTCCGGGCTTCATCGTAGGATTTTTGTGGGGCACAGTTCAGCCCACACAGACCCATCCTCCCCTCCCAGCCTCCAGACGTGGCCCGGCTGGGGGACTCTGTGTGCTCCGAGTCACAGGCCCCCTGAGTGGCCACAGGAGGTGGGGTCCCCACGGCCCACAGGCCCACACGGCTGGGGGTCCGAGACCGGGCGCTCCTTGCCCAGGCCCCGCGGTTACTCCCGGCACTGCTGGCACCTGCTCTTGGGAGGCGTCAGCGGGACGTGAAGGCACCTGGCGGTGGGCAGGGCTGGACTCTGGGACCAGGGGAGCCGCGTGGCCTGTGGCCCCGATTAAAATGATTGACTTCCGTGGGCCGTGGCGCAGCCTCCAGACAGCAGCTGGCCCTTCTGCGCGTGGCCCTGGTGCTGCTGGACCTCCCAGGGAGCCTCCGGCCTTGGGGCGCAGGGAGAGCAGGGCCTCTTCGGGGGCCCCAGCAGCCCACACCTCGTCCACACGCACACGCACCGAGCAACACGTGATCTCGGTCACACACAGGAGTGTCACGGGCACACGCACCCCCATGCGCACACCCGCCTGCCCGCGCCAGCCTCGGCCGTGTGGGGCCTCACACTCGGTCTCCCGTGTGAGTGGACAGAGGCCTGAGGGCTGCATGCAGGGTCACACGGAGGGGTCACCTGGTGGCCCTGGGCTGCAGCTGGGTGGGACCCCCCTGCCAGGGCCTCCTGGGGTCCTCAGCAGGCAATCCCAGCCCCGGCCCCGCACGCTGACTCCTTCCTGGGGGTCGCGCCCCAGCTGGTGGAGCTGCCCTCCTAACCCCTCGGTGGCAGCTCCGTCTGCCCTGTTTGCTCGGGGACTGCTGGTTAATGAGAAGCCGGCGGGGAGGTGCCACGGGCACATAAAGCCCCAGCGCGGCGCGGCGCGGAGGCTCCAGCCGCTTCCCTCTGTCTGCCTGAGAGAGCAGCCTCTGGATCCCGCGCCAGCCATGTCCCAGCTGGTGGAGTGTGTCCCCAACTTTTCGGAGGGGAACAACCAGGAGGTGAGGCCCCCACGGGGCTGGCCGAGTTTCCGGGGAGCTGGCAGGGGCAGCTGAGGGTCTCGGCTGAGGCCGAGAAGGGAGTGGGGAGGGTCCCCCCATGCAGCCACTTCCTATTGGTCCCAGGGACGAGCCCACGGTGATGGGACTCGGCAGAGACTGGCCCAGGGTGGGTGGGACACGGCCAGAGCTGGGAGGGACTGCAGGGCTGGTGGCGGGCCCAGGAATCTCTCGGGGGCTTCCGGTGGGGGCTCGGTGGACCTCTGGGCCTCGGTGCTCTCATCTGAAAATGGCCAGTCGAGGACCCCAAAAGGCTGTGCGCAGGTCCCCCCCGGTGTGTGGCCTCCACACTACAGCCTGGGAGGCAGGTGCTGTCACCACCCCTTACCTGGAAGAGACAGCGCGGAGAGGTCCAGCAGCCACCCAGCCCAGGAGCCGTCCTCCACCCAGAAGGTTCCAGACCCTTCGGGCCCCTCCCCCACCCTGGCCGTCTGCCCCCGCATGGCCTTGGCTTGTGTCCCCTTCTCTGAGCCACTGCCCCCGGGCAGTCTCCTGAGGGCTGCGCCTGCCACCCTCCCTGCCGGCCCCACGCGTGGGCGTGCGGGCTCCTGGGCTGGGGCTCGCGCTCTGCGGGGCTCCTGGGCCCGTTCCCCCGTGGGCTGCAGCCACCTCCGAAGCCCCTTTCTGCTCTCTCAACGGGGACGCTCAGGCGTGGGCTGGGCTTTGTCCCCAGGTCATCGACGCCATCTCCCAGGCCATCTCGCAGACCCCGGGCTGCGTGCTGCTGGACGTGGACGCAGGCCCCTCCACCAACCGCACCGTCTACACCTTCGTGGGGCGGCCGGACTGCGTGGTGGAGGGGGCCCTCAGTGCCGCCCGGGTGGCCTCGCGGCTCATCGACATGAGCCGGCACCGAGGTGAGGCTGGGCCGGGGGTGGGCCTGACCCTTGTCCAGGGTGCTGGGGAGAGGAGGGCCCAGGGCGGGGCCGGGGGTGTGCTGTCCGCAGGGCTGCCCAGGTGTGGCTGCAGGGGCTGTGTGCGGCCCCTCACGGCCGCCTCCATGGCCAGGTGGGGGCCTCCCCCGCACCCAGCCAGCCTCTGAGCAGGCCCCGGGCAGGGGTGCCGGGAGCCCACAGCGAAACCAGCGGGGGCGGGCGGGGTCAAAGGTTGGTGGACACACACGGATCCGGTCTCAGCCAGGCCTCGTGGAGGAATTCACAGGCGACCCCAAGTGGTGAACGGACAGCGCCGGTTCTGGGCGGTGCAGGCGAGGCAGGCGGGGGCTGGGCAGCTGGTCATCTGGGGGGCTCGCCCGGGGCTGGGTCTGACCACGGTGGAGGCATCGCCAGCCACAGGACGCTGTGAGCGTAGTCTGGGTTCTCCGCTGCCGGGGGAGGGGTAGCGCCGGCCGCCTCCAGCCTGACCGGGACGCCCTGAGAGCTGAGCGTCCAGCTTCGCGGCCCCTGGAAAGTTATTTTTGTGACTATTGGGAGGAGGAGGGTTTATCCCCAAGGTGCCAAACTCCTCCTGGGTCTTCAGGCCTCTCCACCGTGGCCGTGAGGACGGTCCGCAGACCCCCGTGGGGGACGCTGCCATGGCCGCCGCAGGCTGGGGGCAGCTGGGCTGCCGCCAGCGCGGGGCGGGGGTGCCCAGGGCCGGCCCCTCCCTGACGCAGTGAGAGCAGCTCGGGGCTGCAGAGGACAGAGGAGCTCGCGCCCACTCCGCTCCCGTCCCCGCAGGGGAGCACCCGCGCATGGGGGCCCTGGACGTCTGCCCCTTCATCCCGGTGCGGGGCGTCGGCATGGACGAGTGCGTGCTCTGCGCGGAGGCCTTTGGCCAGCGGCTGGCAGAGGAGCTGCACGTGCCAGGTGTGCGCCCCCCGCCCCCTGCCTTAAAAACCCGCAACCCCTAAAATAGAAGTTTCACTTGGGAGAATTAACTAAATCAGAAAATGATACGAATCATATGGAGACAAGCAGGGAAAAGTGCGTCCACCGTGGGGGCTGGCGGGTGGGTGAGAACGAGGCTCCCCCGCTGTCCCCCAGTGGCCACCAGGGCCACACAGGCTGAAGTGTGGGGGGGGGGGCAGCTGAACAGCCGCGTCTACAGTCCAGCAGGGGCTGGGGCTTTTTGGCGGGTTCTGTTCTTTTCTCTGTTCCTCCTTCTGCGGTTACGTTTATCACGCAGTGAAAACACATTTCAAAGAGAGACACGAGGATCCTGCCATTAGCATCCCCCACGTTTGGTCCCAACCCTCCCAGCTGTGGCCTTTTCAAGGGCATCCGAGCAGGGGTGGGGAACCGGCCACGCTGCCGTCTGCCTGGGAGCTGGCGCCGCGGGGGGTCTGTCCCCAGGGTCAGCCTCACCGCGGGTCCTCTTGCAGTGTTCCTGTACGGAGAGGCGGCGCGGACGGCCAGCCGCAGGAGCCTGCCTGCCATCCGGGCAGGGGAGTATGAGGCCCTCCCCGAGAAGGTGCCGCCCTGTGGGTGGGGGGTCTGGGGGTGGGCCCTGCCCCTTCTCCTGGCAGGGGTGGGTGGGCCTGGGCCCTCCCCAGACCCCACCGGGGGCTGCCCCTCCCGTGGGGGACACCTCACCTGGGGTGAACTTCCCTGCAGCTCAAGCAGGCCGAGTGGGCGCCTGACTTTGGCCCCAGCTCCTTTGTCCCCAGCTGGGGGGCAACCGCCACGGGGGCACGGAAGTTCCTCATCGCATTCAACGTCAACTTGCTGAGCACCAAGGAGCAGGCCCACCGCATCGCCCTCAACCTGCGGGAGCAGGGCCGTGGGCAGGACCAGGTGAGCAGGGGCTGGGCCATGGGCTGGGCCAGGTGAGTAGGGGGCAGGGCTGTGGGCAGGGCCAGGTGAGCAGGGGCTGGGCCAGGTGAGCTGGGCCAGGTGAGTAGGGGGCAGGGCTGTGGGCAGGGCCAGGTGAGCAGGGGCTGGGCCAGGTGAGTAGGGGGCAGGGCTGTGGGCAGGGCCAGGTGAGCAGGGGCTGGGCCAGGTGAGCAGGGGGCAGGGCCATGGGCAGGGCCAGGTGAGCAGGGGCCAGGTGAGCAGGGGCAGGGCTGTGGGCAGGGGCAGGTGAGCAGAGGCAGGGCCAGGTGAGCAGGGGCAGGTGAGCAGGGGCTGGGCCAGGTGAGCAGGGGCAGGGCTGTGGGCAGGGCCAGGTGAGCAGGGGCAGGGCCAGGTGAGCAGGGGCAGGTGAGCAGGGGCTGGGCCAGGTGAGGCAGGGCCAGGTGAGCAGGGGCAGGTGAGCAGGGGCTGGGCCAGGTGAGCAGGGGCAGGGCTGTGGGCAGGGCCAGGTGAGCAGGGGGCAGGGCTGTGGGCAGGGACAGGTGAGCAGGGGCTGGGCCAGGTAAGCAGAGGGCAGGGCTATAGGCAGGGCCAGGTGAGCAGGGGCTGGGCCAGGTGAGCAGGGGCAGGGGCAGGGCCAGGTGAGCAGGGGCTGGGCCAGGTGAGCAGGGGCAGGGCTGTGGGCTGGGACGGGTGAGCAGTGGGGTGGTGCTCGGCACTGACCCCATGGAACCCCCAGGGGCTCTCGGGAGAGGGTCCGAGGCTGAGCCCCCAAGCAGGACGGTGGCGCAGAGAGCGTCACCCAGGAGCCTGTGATGTGGTGTGGACGGGGCTCAGCCTCCGACCTGCCGACCAGCCCAGCCCAGCGTCCGCGCCCTGCAGGAGGGGCCACGCTGAGGGTCCCGGTGTTTGAAGTCGGGGAGCACGTTCTTCAGAGGGGCTTTCCCACAGGGGCAGGCTGGACCTGCTGAACACCGCAGCGTTCCCACAGTGGTGGGGAGGCAGCTGCTGCCTGAGCCCAGGCGTCCCCAGGTGTCCCCAGAGTCCCCACCTGTCCCCCCCGCCGCTGTAGACTCAGTTGTCTGTAAGCGCAACACAAAAGCAAGGTGACCTCCAAACCCTTTTCTGTGCCTGGGCTGAAGGCAGGGGTCAGAGGTCCCCCCCATGTGGACTCAGGCACCCCAGGAGTGAGGGGCTGAGGGTGTCCGCACGGCCTCTGGGCATCCTGGTGCCTGACCCTTGGGCCTCAGTTTCCCTGTGGTGGGTGGGGCCTCTCCCTGCCCCTCCCCAGCCAGCTACAGGCGGTGGGGGGAGCAGAGCCACAGAATCGGCTGGCTGACCCTCCTGAGGCCACCCCGGTCACCCTGGCCTGCGAGCATCTCGGCCCAGGCTGGGAAACACTTTTCCTCTGCAGCCGGGACGTCTGAAAAAGCTTCAGGCCATCGGCTGGTACCTGGATGAGAAGAACCTGGCTCAGGTGTCCACGAACCTCCTGGACTTTGAGGTCACGGCGCTGCACACGG